CTTGCATAATGCTAAATTCCAATGTTGCATGATCACTCCCCCCCAACGTTCCTGTAACTTCAACATCTTCTATCATTTCATCTCTGTTAGTAAGAATTAAGTCCAATATGCCTGATCCCCTTGTTCCCTTCTCTACTTTATGGGAGACAAAGTTGTCTGCTAGGTTTGTCAGGAACCTGTTTGATCTTCCACTTGGTGCAGAGTTTGTCTCCCAGTTGATGTCAGGGCAGTTAAAGTCCCCCATTACTATTGTGATGTGCTTCCTACATACCTTAGTTAACTGGCTAGCAAAAAGTTCATCTATTTCCTGTTTGGTTGGGTGGCCTATAATATACACCTATGGCAATGACATTTTCCCCCTTTTATCTTGACCCAAATGCATTCAAGACAGTTTTCATCATTGTTGTGCTCTATTTCTGTAGAGATGTGGTTATTTCTTATATATAGTGCAACTCCATCTCCTCTTTTATTTGGTCTACTTCTTTTAAATAATTTAAATCCCTCTAGTTGTATGTTCCATTTGTGAGTTTCATTTCACCAAGTTTCCGTAATGGCAACAATATCATATCTGCCCTCATTTACTTGAATTTCTAATTCACCCTGTTTATTCCTCATACTGTGTGCATTGAGACATTTGAGTCCTTTTTGACGGACCCTGTGTTTACTTTCTACATAACCTGTACGCTGCCTGATATAGAAGTCAGTTGTAAACAAGTTTCAAAAGCAAGCATTGCTGAACATCATATTATAGTAAAATCTTTATTTCAATGGAAGATTCAGGAGGGTGTTTATAACACTAAAGGCCTATTAAATCTGAAAAATATTTTTTGTGTATGGATAAAAGTTCCATCTGGGGCTAATTTACCTGAGGGAACATCCATCTTCAATAGCAAGCATCTCCCCACCCAGTAAGATTCGACAGACTAAGCACGTTCCAGGTCCCTTCAGTTAAAGAGCATCATCTGTCAGGCCCTAGGAAACTTGTCTTTTGTGTTGCAGCACCCACTCTTTATAACAGCATCCCTCCAGAGATCCATAGGGCCCCTACTCTGATGATATTCTGACAGTTTGAAAGTTGTTGAAAACTGGGCTTTGCTCCCAGAGGTGGGGTAGTTACTAACACACACACACACACCATCAGTTTTGGCAAAAACACCCCATAGTGAATGGGTTCACTTAATGACTCCATTCACTTAATGACTGCTGCAAAAAAGGTTGTAAAATCAGTCACAGTCACATGGTGACCCACTCTATGACTGTTAAGAATAAAATTGTGGGTTCAATTACAGTCATTAGTCAAGGACCATCTGTACCATAAATAAAATACAATCTGGCATGTTACACATATGTAAAAGTACACTTTGAGCCTCTTGGTTCATTCAAGCTGTGTGTGTGAGGACACTGTGTAACCCCACATAAACCAATTCCCAACTTCCCTGCAGCACTGCAAGTGGAGGCGTGTGTTTGACCAAAGTGTTAGGGAAGAGCACAAAGGGTGCCCTTTTCTTTTAATATCCTTCTTTCCATTCCATTTGCTGCAGGGTGAATGATATATTCCCAGAATACTGCTTTCCTGAAACTACCCATAGCCAAAGGCACCAATCTGCCTTCTTTGCCACTGCCCAGCTTTGCAGTAGAAGTCCAACAAGGAAATAGACTCAAAGTATACAATCAGTCCCTTCCTCACCAAGCCCCTGATCTTCCCCACCCTGTCACTGCTGATGTCACAAGACAACATATGCCACTGGCCTACCCATCCCAGTGATCTTTCCCAAACCTTCCCAGAAACACCAGCAAAATCTCAGTTAAACCAACTTTGTCCAATACTTCCATTTTTGTCTATTGCATGTAATTTGTCCACTAAATTAATGCCCATTAAATCCAGGTTTTAATGTACAATGAAATGTTCATTATCATATACTTGTGTCTTCAGGCTCTAAACTGGGGGGGGCAGGGGTGGGATTCTACCGGTTCGGACCCGTTCAGTAGAACCGTTTGCTACGATTCCCGGTAGTTCAGAAAACCAGTAAAACGGGCCCCTGGCTGACCCCGCCCCTCTCCACCCGCTTCTCTGCTCCCTGCCCAGTCAGTCCTTATCATGCATGCACAACATCATGCGCATGCACAACAAGCTGATTGCATTCTAACCCCGCCTGCCCCACCCCTCCTTATCCCGGCCATGCGCCACTGCTGCCTGCAGTCTGACTTCACCCGCCCGCCAACCATCGCTGTCTGCCTTCCACCATTATCTGATTAGGTGAGTGAGGCTCTGCAAGCCCCGGTCACCTACATGCTGCTGCTGCCGCCAGCCCCAGTTGAGTCCCGACTCCTGGGTCAGCCTAGGCTGCCACCACCATGCTACTGCTGCTGTCACCACCGTGCTGCCACCCTCAACACTTGTGGCTTAGCTCGGTGCCCCCCCATCCGTCTGGCTTGCTTAGCCACGGGGGCCACCCATGCGGCTCTCACAGCCTAGCAAGGTTACCCCCCCCACTTGCCTAGCTTGCTTACCCACGGGGGCCGCCCATGAGGCTCTCATGGCCTAGCAAGGTTTTCCCCCCAACCATCCCCAGTCTCCAGCTTACCTGGCTTGCTGGTGGCAGAGAGGAAGGTGAGCCAGGGCTGACCCGTCGCCACTCGGGTCCCCACCAGCCTGCATCTCGCCCATCTGGATTCTCCACAGCTGCTTGGCCTTGCCTGGTAGGGGCGGGAGGAGGGGGCAACCAAGGAGCACAATGCTATGGCACCTGGGCCCGCATCGCCCCTTTGCCTGATGCCTCTTCCCTCTGCTGCCCGCCGGCCTGCACGCTTTGGCTGAATGTGGGACACATTCTGTGAGAATGGTGCAAGTCAAGCCTCACAAGAGCGGAACTTCCTTGGCAGCCCGCACTCGGCTAAAACGTTTGGCCAGGCGAGAGAGGGGCAGTTGGCAGAGGGGCAATGCAGGTGGACACATGCTTCCTGGTTGCCTCATGCATCCCCCCGGCAACCGCGAGCCCCAGCAGCTGCGGAGAATCTGAGCAGGGGACTAGATGCGGGCTGGCGGGCAGCCAAGTGGCGACGGCTCTGCCCTGCCTGGCTCAGCTTTCCCTCTGCCACCAGCCACGGGAGGAAGATAAGTTTGCACTTTGCAGGCAGTTGGGATGCCGGTGGGGTGGGCACTTGAGGGAGGGGAGGGCGAGAGAGAGAGCACCTCTCTCCCAGCGGAGTGAGAAGCTTCCAAGTCCCCCTTGTCATTGGAAACAGCTCCCGGGCAGCAGAGAAGCTGCCCGGTTGAATCCTGCTTCTCTCTGCTGCCCAGGAGCCGTTTGCGATAAGAGGGGGACTTGGAAGCTTTTCAAGATTGAGTTTAAGAGCGTCCCATGGAAGAAGCCGAGAGCAAAAGTAGCGATTGTGAGGGTGACGGGCACGTGACATGTCCCTCCATGGTCCCCTCCCAGGTGACAGCCAGGGCTTCGCCTCCTCTTTTCCTCAGAGGCATGGTGTCTGCCTCCCTTCACACTCCTTGCAGAGGGACACCCCCTTGCCTTGCTCTCGGCTTCTTCCATGGGGCGCTCTTAAATTCAATCTTGAAGAGCTGGAAGATATTTCGTTCGATCGCCGCCAATTAACTTGCCTCGCCCAAGACGGCTGCAACAGAAGCAGGAAAAGCGCACCTACTCCGATATCTCTTTTGGAGCCTGGGCGTCACCCTGTAGCTCTCTGCACATGCATGGGAGCTCTCTCTTATACCTCACTAAGCTGCCCAGGATTGCTTGGATGGTTAGCAGGCAAGGGGGGGGGGCACTGAACCTGCTTGCTTCGTCCGTATGCCAGGTGGGATGGGCAGCAACCTCAGGTGCTGGGTGTTTTCAAAAGGCTGTGCACTGAAAGGTGGGGGACACAGTAGTTGTATAGCCCCCTTAAAGGGGTGAAGAAATAGCCCTCAGGCTAAGGAGAGTTGATTTACAAGTGGAAGTTTCCTTTTTTCTCTCTCTCTTCCCTGCCAAATCTCCGGGTAGAAATAAAAGCTGTTGGGAGTTTTTGAGCTGGAAGATCATTTACAACAGGGGTCCCCAAACTTGTCAACTTTAAGACTTGTGGACTTCAACTCCCAGAATAAAAATTTTACTCCTTTGTTTTCTTGGGAGGGTACTCCCTTTTCAGAGCAGGGATTCCTTTTCTTTCCTTGCCCCTGCCCTGGGATTTCTTTGGCACAACTTTATCTTTTTCCCTCCTCTGGGCTTTTAAAAAAACTAACCTCCCTCCCTCCCTCTCTCTCTCACACACACACACATGCACAGAGGCTGAATATTTCTTTCCTCCTGGCCCATACAGGCAACACCCATGCAAATGACTTAGAGTTGGCCACACCCACCTAGTCATGTGACCAAGTCATGCCCACCCAGTCATGTGACCAAGTCATGCCCACCCAGTCACATGACCACCAAGCCACGCCCAGCCAGTCACATGACCAAGCCACACCCACAAATTAAGTCATGCCCACAGAACTGGTTGTTAAGAAATTTGAATCCCACCCATGGGGGGGGAGGAGAGACAACATCACAATATATATAAGATCTGCTGAGCTTCCTTATTTGGCCCACAGACTTCCTTTACCAGCAGACCGGCTTACTTAAAAATATATTAATTGGCACTAGTGAGCATGTGTTATATAGAGTACAAATACAAGTATGAACGGTTACATATAACTAGGTATAAATAGGCATATATTTAGATAAATGGGGGAAATGTAATACATGGCTCCTTTTTTATTTAGTTATACATGCATTCCCATGTATTCCACAGCAAAATGCAACCCTGATTCAAGAGAGTGGTGCTTGACCACTGCCCACTCTTCATAGCAGGCATACAGTCCTCCACATCTGAGTATCAGATATATACATGGCAGATAAACTCATTAATGTTTTATACATTTTCAAAACCCTGTAAATTAGAATGTGAGTGAAACCAAATGACATACAGAAAACATCTCAGCATAAAAGAAAAAAAAGACTTACCTATCCCAATCATCATCTCCAGTTCTCCTTCTCCAAGACCTTTCTGCACCAGGCTTATGATGATCAAAGTCATCATCTATAAACAGAAGGTATTTAATGATTTGCACAACATGAACCAAATGCTTGGATTCTAAGACAGCAGTACTGATATTATTTTGAGGAATCATGCTGTGTTTCTGCTCTTTCCTTCTAGGAGAACAACTTTTTTTCAAATTGCTTCTAATCTTTTTTTAATAGCAAAGTAAGAGATACTTGTTAAAAAGTTAAATTAATGGAAATGAAGAGTAAATTCTATAGACTGGCATGTGCAACAGAAACAGAATGCAGAACAATCTAAGGGAAGATGACAGCAATTATTGTACCCCACTCCCCAGTTAAAACATTTTTGACTTTCTTTCCTGTGGTACAAAAAGGGGCTTTAGGTTTTCTCCCTTACCAATCACAATGGGAAAGAATACTGAAGTATGCAAATAGATTGATAGTTTTTTATTTCTTCATTTAATTAATAATTTAACTAAAAATGCATGGTACAATTCCCATAAATATTACTTCTGATTGTCCCAAACTGCCTCATGATGCTACTGGCTGCTCTGCTCAGATGTTAAAATAGGCCTGTTTTTACTGGTTAAAACAAATTGGTTAACTAGCTCTAGAGTCTAGACTTACAAATGTGTCTATGGCATCAAATTCTTACAGGACTCTGGCTATCCACCAACTCCATACCAGACCTGACTCTTCATGGGAAATATAAGTAATTTCCTGCCATCTGGATAATCTGACTATAAACCCATCTAATATGGCTAATTATTAAAAATTATATGAACTGTAGTACAAAACACCCGAGGCTGCCTACCCGATTTAGGAATAGACATTCCTTGTTAAAATTCTAATATCTATTGGCAGCTCAATGTTACACATTATTGATGGGCATTCACAACAGCGTCAGGTCTGCCATCTTCGGCTTGGCACCACATTGGCATCCTACCATCAAAGTCCACAGGGAGGGGGCATGGGGGGGACATATAGGCAATAAACCTGTGTGGGGATGTCATGGGAAATAGGGAGGGGGGATGACAGCTGGACAAAGACCAGGGAACCACGGAACCAGTTTGTGCCAGCACTCAAGGCCACGCACCCTTAGAATGGAATGTGGACTTCCCCAAACATCTCAGTGTTTCTCAAATTACTTATTGGCTTTTCATTGGCTGAAGAAAAACTGGTCATGGGGGGGGGGAAAGGCCAGGAAGGTGGGGGGGGGGGGAATTGGTAACTTTTCACACAGGAAACTTAGTTGTAGCCTGACTTTACTGCAGCCAGCAAACATTAGTAAAATAACCTATCAACTGCACCCAAATCAAGTCGGGAGTCTTTCTTTCCTAAGGGACTTGACTGGGGCAGGTCTGACACATAGTGCTTCAAGTAGTATTTTCAGGTACATGTACTATCCAGATGATCATTACTAAAAAGCTTCAACATTTGAATGTTTTACCTGTCATTTAGAAGTCTGTTTTACACTATAATCCTATATATGGAATCAAATTAAACCTCAGCAAGATGAAGACTTTGTTTATCTAGAAGTTACTTGAATTCAAGGTAATTATTTAGGCCATGCCAGAGTTGTAGTTACAACCTCCAGGAAGGAGATACAAGAAGATCTGGGGGTGGGGGTGGGGTGGGGGTGGGGTTCTGGACTCATGACTCCAACTGGAGAGCTGGTGGAAGTCATAGCCAGGAGATCCTTTGCCTTGCAATAGTTTCTGAAACAGGATATTCTGGCAATCACTTATACTACAAATAATTATGATATCAGTACAGTTCTGAGTACAATTCTAACATGCTGGTTATTGCTTATAAAGCCCTTTATGGCTTGGGGTCTTCAGGACTGTTTCTGAACTAGAATCCCCCCACCCCCATTCTATTGTAGAAAGTATGCTGGTGACTAATGAAACCACCTCTTTCCCCCAAACTTAGTTGATGGCAGCACAAAACAAGTTTCTCTTGGAATTCTTTGTTCCTTTCTCTTTGAAATTAGAGAAACTCCTTCCTTTATTGGGTTCCAAAAACAGATCATACTCTGGCCTTCAAGGAAAGGCAATAATAATTATTACTTATATTGTTGGGTAATTATGATTTACTGTTATAAGCTGCCCAATATCTACTGGAATGGGTAGCATACAAATAATGTGAAATAAACATGTTCAGAGATATCTAAGTTACACACTGCTCAGGAATAATTAAGGCATTAGGCATCTTAATTTTAAACATACTAAGACAGGTCACTTCTTGTACTACCCAATACTCATTTTACACAAATGGAATGTATGCAATGTGTTCTATATTAACAGTGTATTGGAATATAAACGTCAAAATAGATTTACAGATTCATGAAGATTCTTAACAATGCTTCCGTTGCATGGCTTTTACTTTCAAAAAGAGAAAGGGAGGTAGGAATATGCCAGTTTTCTTTAACCTGGTGTCCTCCATGTTTGCTGTCCTAAAACTCCCATCACTTTTATTAAGAAAATAGAATGAAGAGTTTTTCTTCCCTTATGTTGAAACCTCCAAATTTCCCAATGAAGCTGAATGTAGCACTGTCAACAGGCAAGAGCAGGGGTCTTCAAACTTGACAGCTTTAAGACTTGTGGACTTCAACTCCCAGAGGTCCTCCTCCAGTCATGTTAGCTCAGGAATTCTGGGAGTTGAAGTCCACAAGTCTTAAACTTGCCAAGTTTGAAGACCCTTGGGCAAGAGGAAGGTTTGTTTTTAACAACAGAATGTATTTCCTTATGATGGGATGATACCACAAACATGGTCAGTTGTAAAACAGGCTGGATAAATTCATGGAGAATAAAGCTACTAATGACTATGAAGCTCAACTGTAATAAACCACCTTCAGTTTTGAAGGCAACATATCTGTAAGACAAATTCCTTGTGTGTCCAATCACACTTGGCCTATAAAAAATTCTACTCTATTTCTATTTCTATTCTACTCTACTCAATTCAGTATTAGTTGCTGGAGAACAAAAACCAAATCAACATTTCATCTGATTTACCAGGTACCATTTAAAGTTTTGTTTTAAATGAGTTTCTAGGTTTAACAATTCAAATTTGCTTTAAATAGCTAACTCATGTACGATGGCATGTTATTTGTGATAAACAATACCATGTTTCATGCAGAACTGCTTTAATTCAAGTGAATTTACAGCTATATTAATTTTGTGTATGCTCAGGTCAACAACTCAGCTCTACCCTATATCCTTTATTAACAACATTCTACTGGAAGGGAAGCTAAGGCAGGGCTGTCAAACTCCCGACCCATGGGCCGGATGAGTAATATTCTGGCCACACCCACGCCCAGTTTAGCAAAGGGGAAAAAAGTCCTGATAAGTCACGTGACACCACCATGACGTGAGTTTGACACCCCTGGGCTAAGCTGACAGATATACAATCCAAGATGAGTAAACAAACAGTGCAGCAAATTTTAACAGAGATTCAACCACTATATCATTCTGGCTCTTCGCACAAGATTGGCTTTGCTTGTAGACAGACACAAAACATTTCATTTGAATTATTGGTTTCAGATAGGTAGTTGTCCAGTCTTTTCTTAAAAACGTCCACTGAAGAAGCATCTACAACTTCTGAAGGCAAGTTGTTCCACTGGTTGATCGTCTCTTAGGAACCTCTTAGGAAGTTTCTCCTTAATTCCAAGTTGCTTCTCTCCTTGATTAGTTTCCATCCATTGTTTCTTGTCTTGCCTTCTGGTGGTTTGGAAAATAAGTTGACCCCCTCTTCATGGCAGCCCCTCAAATACTGGAATACTGCTATCATGTCATCCCTAATACTTCTTTTCTCTAGACTAGCCATACCCAGTTCCTGCAACTGTTCTTCATATGTTTTAGTCTCCAGGCCTTTAATCATCCAAGTTGCTCCTCTCTGTACTTTTTCCAAAGTCTCAACATCTTTTTCATAATGTGGGGACCAAAACTGGATGCAATATTCCATGTGTGGTCTTACGAAGGTTTTATGAAGTGGTACTAATACTTCACGTGATTTTGATTCTATGCCTCTGTTTATACAACCAAGGACTGTAAGCTTTTTTGGCTGCTGCCGCACACTGCTATCTCATGTTTAAGTGATTGTCCGCTAGCACTCCAAGGTCCCTCTCACAGTTCCTGTTTTTGAGCCAGGTTTCAACTAATCTGTACTTGTACCTTTGGTTTTTCCTGCCTGTGCTTTTCTCCACATTAAATTTCATGTTGTTGGATACAGCCCATTGTTCAAGTTTGTCAAGATCTTTTTAGATCCTGAGCTTATTTTCTGAGGCATTGGCTATTCCTGCCAGCTTAGTGTCATCTGCAAATTTGATGAGTTCCCCCTTCTATTCCCTCATCTAAGTCATTTAAGAAGATAGAGTACTGGGCCTAAGAGGAAACCTTGTGGTATCCCACTGCTTACTTCCCTCCATGTAGACATAGCTGAGCACCATTAAGGACTACTCATTGAGTACAGTTTGTTAGCCAGTTACAAATCCATCTGGTGGTGATGCTATCTAGCCCACATTTTTCTAGCTTACCAAGAAGTAGGTGTCGGGGTGGTGATTTAAGAGCTGACCAGCTGATGCAATTATATGAGTCAGCAAGGTTTTTTGCTGTTAGCCCTTTAAGAGCCTGAATAAGAAGAGGCCCTGTTAGGGTGTCCCTCTCTCTTGTGTGTGTTCTTCCCTGCTGTAATTGCTGTTTGTTTGACCTCTGCCTATAGTAAGTGTATGTAGAGTATATAGTCTTTGGTAGATAAAACCACTATTACAAACCTATTTGCTGTAATTACTCCTGGGTTGTCTCACATAGTAAAGCTGTGCGCACTCTTGACAGCTTATGGGCCCAGACCAGAGAGACCAAAGATAAACCCAGTGAGAGCTTGCTCTAAAGTCAGAGGGGTTTTGCATCATGGTTTGTTAGTGGTTGGTGATTCCAATCAGGGGTGGGATTCTACCGGTTCTGTCCGGCTCTACAGAACCAGTAGCTCTGAAGAGCAGTTTTGGCCCACCTGCCCACCCGGGCTCTTACCTGTCCTTTATTTCCTGCTTTTTCAACAGCACCTACTTTGCGCGGCACAGCTCTGGTTGAAAAAGCAGGAAAAAAGGGCTTTTCCAACCGCTGCACACCTGCATGCAGCGCTGCTCAGCTGTCCGGGCAGCTCAGCAGGTCATAAATTGTGCATGCACGCATGACGCAGAGCAACAGAACCGGTAGTTATACCGGTCGGATCCCATCCCTGATTCCAATTACTGTGGTATTCTTCCTACGTACATTTGTTAGTTGAATAGCAAAGAGTACAACTATTTCTTCTGCTTGGTTGGCTGGCCTGTAGTATATGCCTATAGCAATGTCATTTTTCCCCCTTTTATACTGACCCATACGGATTCTAGATGGTTTTCATTTGAGTCCTTTGTGTCTTGGGTATGTTTCTGGTATGTCCTACTTTGTAACTGCTGTTGCCATCCTTTACATCACTCTCTACTCCATTATGTTTTTCTTTTTCTATTTCTTCTTTCTCTTTACTCCCTACCTCCTTATGTGATTAATTATCTAGTGGTTTTTGCTTGGAACTAGGTTCTAAAGGTCATGAAGACTGGTCCCCCTTCCCCCTTCAATTTTAGTTTAACGCCCTTTTGATGAGCCAGTTGTTTTCCAAATATATTCTTTCCAGTTCTTGTGAGGTTCACTCCATCCCTTGCCAGTAGTCCTTCATGTAGGTAATGCAGACCATGGTCTAGACAGTGATGGCTAACCTTTCCGTCCTTGTGTGCCAAAAGTGCATATGTGCGCGCACACACACGCACCAACACCCATAAGGCAATGCCCGCGCCCCCCATGCCCCAGCACATGCACTGTGCATTTCTGCACATCTGCAACCCCTTGCGTGCAGCGCACCTTTCTGCACATCCGCGGCAGCTCAACGGCTACCAGCTGGTGGGCAGGCGGCGGGCATGCATGTGCCATGGACCTGCTTCAGGGTGACAGCTCATGTGCCAGCGAAGATGGCTCTGCATGCCACTTCCAGCACATGTGTCATAGGTTCGCCATCACGGGTCTAGGAAATCGAAGGTGATAACATTTTAGTAAGGTACCCCATTACATCTTTTGATTTTTGCTCCAGGGAAACTATATATAACTCCCTAGATTGACTGCCTAGTTTGTAGACTAGAGTTTCTGTTCCCCTATGAATTGAATCTCCTATCACCAATATTTGCCTTTTTTCCCTAAGGAAGTCTGGAATACTTTTTTTCCTGTTGCAGGAATGCTGGGTTGTGCCTCTTTTTTAGAAACTATTGATGAATGCTCTTTTGTGAGTGTCTGTATATTTTCTTCCAGAGGAAGGCTATGAAAGCAATTGTTCAGTTCCAGAGGTGCTTCATTGGAGTGGGCTAGGGTAGATAATAGGTGCTTTGCTGTTGGTTGTTTTCTTCTAAAAGTGACACATTTCCATCCGTCTTGCTGTTTAGGTACATATGTAGGGACATTTTTTACCAAAGCTGTTTGTTCCCCAATTGTGTTCAATTTAGGTGTATCAGTTTTTTTCTTTATGTTCATATAAGGGGTCATCGGTTTTTTTAGAAGCTGTTTGCTCCCAATTATGTTTTCTTTTGTTGTAATCTTGTTTAGGTTGGGATCTCTTACTTTGTTCATTGACTGGCTAGAGTTGCATCTAGACTCTATTTTTTATTTTGGTAATTCAAGTAGTTTATATTTGATACATACATAGTTTGGGTCTTTTGTGGACATAAGATCAAACATATGACACACCTTGCAAGTCACTATAGTGTCAGTCTCTATTTCCATGACTTTTTTGTTTGCTAAAAAATTAAAAAGTTCTAAAAATTTAAATATTCTCCCTGTTGCGAAGTGTCAGTTTACAATAATGTATAAGAGTTCTTGGCCTTTTGTTCTCAGTCTTGAAAAATTAATCACTATCTTCCCTGTTTTGAAGTGTCTGTCTCTTTTTCCATGTTTTTTTTTCCTCTTAGCTCATTATGAATTTAAAAATTTCTAAAGAATAACTTCTTTTTCGATTTTTAATTGAAAAAAATTAAAATCTGAAAAAAATTAAAAAGTTGAAGATTTTTTTAATATTGAAAAAATTAACATTGAAAAAGATTTAAAAATTGAAAAAGGAATTTAAAATTAACTTATATTTAAGTTTAAAAAGATTAAATTTTGAAAAAAGAATTTAAAAATTTTAAAACATAAAAATTTGAAAAATAATTTTTAAAAAAGGAATTCAGAGATTTTAAAAATTTAAGAATTTACAAGAGTCCTTGGCCCTTTATAAAGTAATATGCACTTTTTTGTTGGAAATCTCAGGCTGTTTGCTAGGAGATGCTTTGCTCTTAATCCTCTACTCCCTGCCTTGAAAGTGTATCCTTTTCCTCCCTGTCCACAAGTGTTTTGTACTTATTCTTTTCTTCCCTTTCTTGCCTGGCAACTGCTTTCTTGTCTGGCTACTGCTGGGGTTTTCAGGTATGATGCGCTGATGTGGGCACTCTGCTCTGCTTAACTGGTCTGCTGTGCTCAGCTGCTGATGGTCTGTCGTACTGCTCTCAGTCTCTGCTGTGGGCGCCACTGCTCAGTTGGTCCTCTGCACTGCTCTCAGCCAGTGCTGGTCCACCACATTGCTCTTAGTCCCAGGTCTGGGCGCTTCACTCCTCTGCCACTTAGCTCTGTACTACTGCTGCTCAAGGTTTGCCATGCTGCTCACAGTTGCTGATCTGCTGCCACCTAGCTCAGTTTCACCACTGATGTGGCCTCCATTTGTACCGCACTGCCTCCACTCAGGTGTCAGGTTGGGTCACTGGGCTGCCTCTCCGTCTCTTACCCGGCTGTCTCTCCTTCTCTCAAATGGGTCACTGGGCTGCCTATCAGATGGGCCACCTCTCACCTTTTTGTTCTAGTTCAAGTTCTTTTTTTGTTCCCTCCTGTAGATAATCTTGATGTTGTCCTCTCCCTTATGCCATATATATTCCTCCTCCTCTGCTCAATACAGTTCAACTGTCCCAGGAATAGAGAAGAGATAAAGCCTTTGATTGTATTAATCATGAGAAGTGATGGACAGCCCTACAAGATCGGGGAGGGGGAGCACATCTGGTCAAGTTGGTGCAATCACTACACAAATCAGGAAGCCACTATGGAAACACCAATTGGTTTAAGATAAAGAGTGTGATAATGTTGCATTCTCTCTTATTCAACCTGTATGCCAAAATGTTCATGAGAAAATTAGATCTTGAAGAATAAAAAATCGAGATAAAGATTGGAGGAAGAAACAGTAACACTCTTCAATATCCTGAGGGTACCTAATAAAGGCGTAAGGATGGGTGGGAGGAAAGCAAATCTCTCAAAAGAACAAGGTCAAATGGAAAGAAATAGGAAATAAAACGGAACACAATAACATGCCCACCACAAATACTTTATTCTACATCTGATGTCCTATGCCTTTAATCTCACTTTTGTTAGCCACAAGACCTACCTCCGCAATCCCAGGCTATCAAAGCACTGCCACCTTTTCCTTCCCATCCCCAAGAGACACTTCCAAGTATCCCTTCATCTTCCCGCTTCCTCTCTCATCGTAGCGCCCTCAAACCCAGGAAACCCTCCCCAGGTGTCCCTCAATCCAACCCACCCCCTCAGGACAAACCTAACGCCCCTGTATAGCCCAGTGTCTTCTCGCGAGTAAACACACACGAAGGCGGCGCAAACAGCAGCAACTGTTCTCCAGTAGTTCACGAGATCAATGAAATCAGCTTCTTCTTCCCACTCACCCTGGGGCGTCCCCCACCCGGTTGAGGCCCGCGGCTTTCACCGCGCGTCAGCCGCACCCACTTGGGAGTACGAGAAAGAAATCCGCACCTGCTCCTCCTAGGGCGGCTGCCATGGCGTCGGATCTTGCCGGGTTCCGGCGTGGAAGCCCGCAACCCTCCTACCTCTCCCAACGGCAGGAACTACTCTTGTTCAAAACTGACTGCCAGCCGCGAAGTATAAATCTAGCATAACATGGCGTCCGGCTGATGAAGAGAAAGCTGAAGAGACAGGTGAGGAGCGCCGCTGGAAGCGCCGCGTTGTAGTCTGGGATATTGGAAGACTGACTCTTCCGCTCCGGTGCAGAAGATGGTGGACTCAGCGGAATGGCCAATGTGCCGCACTGGAGACACGGCGAGGGAGAAAGGGGGAGGGCGTTGCAGTGACGCCACGGATTGTAGCATAAACTGAGAAAGGCGAGCCTCTCTTTCCCATGACTTTATGGTCATACTGACCAAAAAAAAAAAAAAAAAAAAACTGGATTGCTAGGCGCATGCGCATAAGGAGTTGTTTTTTTAATTCTTTTAAACTTATTTATTATTGAATTGATTTGCCGCCCATCTCGTAATGAAACGACTCTGCCCGGCTTCTAACATTAAAACATTAAAATCCTAGCAACTATCTTTAAAAGAATAAAAATAGAAATCCCAATCAAGATAAAATATAGATAAAAGATGGGAAGGGAGGGAACAGGATTGCTTTGGGGGGGGGGAAAGTGGGATTGCCTGTTAATTCAATAACCACCTCCAATGTGATACTCCCCCATTGGGGCCCCAAGCCATCTGTCAGAGCCAGGTCTTCAAGTTTCTGCAGAAGGATAGGAGCCAAATCTCATCTCGGGATAAGATATTTCGAAGGGTAGGAGCCACAGCAGAGAAGCCCCTTCTCCTGGACCCCACCAGTCAGAATTCCTTGACCAATGGGGCCTGCATCGAACCAGGTCTGGGATCGTGCAACCCCATACAGAACTAAGTTGTTAAAAGTCTTGAAGCTCTGCACCCAAACCCATTCTGTCTTGCCAGGGTTCAGACAAAGCCTGTTCAAAGCCTCCTCAGCCTCCAGACACCACGAGAGGGTGGCAACAGCATCACTTAGATCACCAGGGATGGAGCTATAAAGTTGTGTTTTGTGGGAAGCCACCACCACCCCTTCCTAGAAAAATTAAATATTTTGAGGAATATTTTAAAAAGGCAGGATAAAATATTTCCCCTAAAAGAGAAATAAAAAATCTTAAGGGAGACACTCAGAACCCCAGCTCCCTGCCTCCAGCAGATATTTTGTGCCCATTAAGAAAGACTGGGCCAGCCTATCTACAAAACAAAAGACTTTCAGCTCCAGGGTGAAGGGATTAAGACATGACCTGTCGGGACATAATAGGATTAACCCACTAAAACACAACTCACAATCTCCTAAGGACATTAGACTCACCCTTAAACTTCAACCTTAGCTCAGACAACCTATAGAGCCAGCTATGACCCCTACATAACCCCTACATGGCCCCATGGAAGTCTGACAACAGCCAATGGAATACACGTTCTTGCACAGGAACAGGAAGCTCAAGTGGAAAGCCCAAGAGAAGGTATAAAAAAAACTCACTCTCAACTCCATGTGGTCAGCTGCATCAGAACCATGTGCTTGGTGGTTCTGTTTCATCATTAAACCATATTTCCAATCAGCCTCCATGTTTCCAGTGTCTTTCTCCCAGCTTGGAACTGAACCAGGTGGATATTTCTTCCAACAGTATCATCAGCATACTCAACCCCTGGTGGCGAATGATCTCACCCAGAGGCTTAATGTAGATCAGCGGTGTCAAACTCAAGGCCCGCAGGCCAGATCCAGCCTGTAAGGTGTTTAGATCTTGCCCGCAGGGCTGCCCTGGAAACAGCAAAGGTGCCTCTGCCAGTAAAAACAGCTTAGGAGGGCCCATTTGGAGAGTAAAAACAGGGCCCTTTTTCTCTGGCAGAGGACTACAGGAGGCCGTCATGGCCAAAAATGGGGCCCAGGAGGGCCGCGCGTGGCCCCCTGAGCTCCATTTTTGCTGGCAGAGGGCTAGCAAAACAAACTAAACAAAACAAAACAAAAGGAGAAATCTTTCCCTTTTTGCATTTGAGCATGCAAAAAGGAACAGGAAAAGAGAAAGGGAAAGAGGAAAGACAAAGAAAAGGAAGGAAAGACGGGAAGAGAGCAAGGAAGGAAAAATAAGGAAAGGGGAAGGAAGAAGAAAAAATGAAGAGGGAAGGAAAAAGGAAGGAAAGGAAGATTATAATGAGAGTGACGGAGGGTCTTGGGGAAGTCCTGCCTTAGCACTTGGCCACCAGAGGTGCCCCCGGCACAAGTGATGTCAAGCTGGCCATGCCAACCCCAGCCACGCCTACCCTAGTCCCCTCCCCAAGGTCAAACACAACCCTGATACAGCCCTCAATGAAATTGAGTTTGACACCCCTGATGTAGATGTTCAAAAAGGAGCAGAGAGAGTACCGAGCCCTGCAGTACACCACAGAGGAGCGGCCATGGACTGGACCTCTCACTCCCTATCAACACCAATTGGGACCGGCCTTAGAGAAAGGAGCCAAACCAATGCAAAGCTGCACCACCCAGCCCCAAACACGGCAGCCGGCCCAAAAGGATATTGTGGTCAATGGTATCAAAGGCTGCTGAGAGATCAAGGAGTGCAAGGATGGTTGCACTACCCCCATCCCACTTTCACCAGAAATCATTAGCAAGCATGACCAATGTCATTTCCATCCCTTAACCAGGCCTGAAACCTCACTGAAAGGGGTCCAGTTAATACATTCCATCCAGGAACCTCTGACACTGCCAAGCAACCACCTTTTCTACCACCTTTCCTAAAATGGGAAGATGGGAAACTTGTCCAGGCAGGTGGGATCAAGTGATGTTTTTTTTTTTTAAGGAGGGGGCAAACCAGGGCCTCCTTGAAAGGCCCTGGAAATGTCCCCTCCTGCAGTGAGAAATTTATCACTGCTTGCACCCACCTGCTAGTTACCGTCCTAGAGGCTTTCACCAGCCAGGCGGGACAAGGATCTAATTGACAAATGGTTGCACTGACAGCACTGAGGACCCTGTCCACTTCATGAGGTCCAACAGGATCAAACTATTCCCAGGTAACTGGGCAAGACCTATCCCTGGGCATCTCACAAGGACCTGCACCACATATGGGTTTCAACTGGGAACAAATTTGAGCGACTTTATCTGTCAGGTGTTGAACAAATTCCTCTGCATGGTCCTGAGGATGTTCAACTGAGCTGTCCTGTCCCAAAAGGGACCAGGTAACCTGGAACAGAGCTGTGGGGCGACACTTCTGAGACACAATAAGGGCATATAAATAATGCTGTTTTGCCACTCTTGCCACCATGAGGTCGGCCTTAATAGCAGCTCTAAGTCATGTCCGGTCGGAATCATCCTTCATTTTCCTTCAGTGGCGCTCTAGGCATCTCTTAACCCTTTTCAGAACCTGCAACTCCTCCATGAAACACAAGGAGAGTCAGGAGTGATGGGTCAAGAGAGGCCACATGGGTGTGATCCTGTCCAGGGTCCCGGCTGCCCTTTAATTCCAGGACATTAGCAAGGCTTTGGCAGGGCCATGCAGCAAAACCTCCAGGAAGTCCCCTAGTTCCCTCTGAAACCCAATTGGGTCCATCAGTCACTGGGGGTGGACCATTTGAATGCAGATGGGGATGGCATAAGAGAGTCTCAGGGACACCAGGGCGTGATCTGACCATGACAAGGGAGATAATGTTAAATCCCCCCACCAGATCACATTGTCATTGCTCCATCAAGAAAATCATGTCTGGTGTATACCCACTGTTGGACCCGAGATGATCTGGAATAGGCCCATGGCTGCCATGGTGGCCATGAACTCCCGTACCACTTCCAAGGCCATACCCAGGGATGGCAGGTTGAAGTCTCCCAGAAACATAAGTCTCGGGAATTCCACCACCAGCCCAGAGATGGCTTCCAGCAGTTCAAGCAGGGAGGTTGCTACGCAGCAGGGAGGCTGGTAGCAACATTCCCAACTGATCCTGTGAGCCCAGCTTCAAAAACAGGGTCTCACAACCAGAAACATGTAGAGCAAGCTTCCTGATTGCCAGAAGAGATTTTCAGATGACCACTGCCACCCCATCTCCCCTAACCTGGGGTCTCAGCTGTTGCCAAACCCTACACTTGGCTGGACACATCTCCAAGAGGGGACCCCCCCCCCACTTCCATAATCAGCCAAGTCTTGGTGATGCATGCCAAGTCAGCTTGCTCCTCCTCAGTGGTGGGATTCAACCTTTTTTACTACTGGTTCTATGAGAGCGTGCTTCACTCATAGAAGCGTTTGAAAACCACCGATTTTAAGCTTCAAAACTTACCTTCTATTCAGTGCTTGTGAGTAAAACAGCTGAGGCGCGGCAATCCGCTCTCCCATGCGAATCAGCTGAGCTAAAAAACAAGGAAATATAGGACAGGAAAGGGCGGGGGCAGGTGGGCGGGGCCAACTGCTCACTGGAGCTACCAGTTCACTAGAACCGGTGCAAACTGGCAGCATCCCACTACTGCTCCTCCTCAATAAGATCTTGAATAAGGGAAGCCTTATTATTGACTGATCTGGCATTTACCAGCAGCAGCTGAACCTCAGGGCCCTCTGTAGGTATGCTGGCCAGGAACTGGAAATGAGCTCAGGAGACCGGAACACACCACCGATACTACACATTGGGGGTGTCTTCCCCTGTAACAGCCTGACCTCAGGCTCCCATAGCACCCCATACCCATCACCACTCTAATAGCTTGTCCTGCCCCATGTCCCCTAATGTGATCATTCTCTCTCCTCCCCAAACTCCCTCCTGCTAGAGTCAAGGGCTCTGCCACACATACCCCAGCCACTCTCATGCACTTCCTCAGACATTCTGGGGAGATCGGTGAGAGAGTTGCTGTAGCTTAATCTCTCAGCACTAGCTGGGCTACCACCTCTACACTCCCCCCACCACATACGCAACATCCTCCCACCTCAGCTGGTCCCTCTCACTAGCCAGCCAGCCAGAGGGAGGATAGACTCATCCCAGCCCCCCACCTGACTCACTCTAGGTGGTGGGCTGCAAGCATCTGTCCTAACACATTAACTGTTCCTAGGTTTTCACCCTAGGGGCAGCAAACACTTCTGGGACCCTTAGAATTGGCAAAGAATACCGAAAGAAGATT